TGGTACTCTAATGGGAATTCGTATAATTCCAATGAAGCTAATCCTTTGTAGTATTTTAATATAAGCTATTTCCTCTTTTGTTGTAATTTAGTTAATGCACAGCAGAATCATACGTGCTTTATGAATTAGGCCCAACAATAACTTTCTGTTCATTCTTAGATTGTGGATAAAATTTGTCTCATATGTTAGAAACAAACTTGAAAAAAGTCTAATAAATTCCATAAATTAAGCCTAAGAAACTTAAAACTTTTTCCTTCTAAAAGCTCTAATTCAAAGAGGTTGATTCCTTATAGTTTCAATTCATATATTATTTGATTACATACTGGATGTAAAATAGCAAGGTAGGTAGTTTGAGTAATATTATTTGATATTACTTAGAGCGGCAGTTAGTATACTTCTATGGTGTTTATCAAAACTCCATTTGTTAGTTTACCGAGTGGTGCTCTAATATTAATAATAATATAATGAAAGGAAAAATTGACTTGTTAATAAATCTTAGTAAAAGTGGATACACAGTGGCACAAATTGTGGTCCAAAAAATAAAGTTTAGGTCACAGATTTAAACTAGTACTTTGTACTCAAGATAATTACCAATATTCTGTTCCTTTTATGTCATTAAAAGTAAATTACTATCACATCAACTAACTTATTGTAACTCATTTAGTTACCAAACTCCTGATTTTCAAGATGGCCTTATTAATGTGTTCAAAGCATGAATGATAAAAAGTAAAGAATATTCACAGAAATATGTACTACTATAAGAAGATAAATGAAAACAGTAAGAATTTGGCACACCTTGAAATGTAAGGAGGAACCTTCAGCAGCATCCAAAGCTGGGCATGGAAGCATACACCTGTAATCCCAGCACTTGGGAGGTAGAGGCAAGAAAGTCAGTAGTTCAACTACTAGTCTCAGCTTTGTAGTGAGTTCTAGACGAGCCATAGCTGCATGAAACTCAGAATTTAAAAGAAACAAATCCAAATCAAGCAAACAACACTCAAATTAGGAAAACAACAAAAAGAGTAAAGTGTACATTTAAATCAGTCAGTAGTCACTGTAACCTGCTCCACGAGTTTGTTTGCTGTGTTCATTCCTTACTTATTCTATTCAGAGTTAGAACCATTATCCTCTTTCCTATGAATGCTCTACTCTCTGCTCTTTTGGTTTTCCTTAGATCACAAATAGTGCATTTCGTTGTTTGTTATATATTGTCTTTCTCCTCTTGCTAGGAATAAGACTTATGAAGACAAAGATTTTCTTTTTCTGTTGTGTTAGCTACTATATTAACATAGTTGACTTTGGAGAGAAAACAAAGAACAGAATTTTTTTGAATTTATAAAATAACTTTAAAGTCACAAAATAAAGATTCAATAATTTAACACAAGATATGCGTATAATGAAGATATTGGAAATAAAAACTAACATACCTTTATTTAGTCTAAAAAAAAAGCTATCCAACAAATACCTTACTGTGAATTGTACCTGTTCTGTTACTGCCTCTTTACGTGTTAAAGCAAATGAGCCTGGTGGTCTTTTCTCCTTTAGATAGGAAAATACATTTAAACACACTTTTTTGGCAACTAGAATTAAGGGATAAAGGGATGTGAACTGCAGTCTTATTCATAAATCTTGTCATTTATGTTAAGGCCTATTGAGTCAAGTTAGTGTCCCCAGACATCCCTCAGTTCAAGTTTATCCACCGAGGTCTAGTCAGGCTATCTAAAGTCACTCTCTTAAAGAAGATCAACTCTTTCTCACCCAGCAGTAATCAGCTGCCCAATAGTTCTTCAGCTAAGATTGGGGCCTGTTGCCCATTTCACAGTTGTATACTGGGGTTTTGTCTGCTTGAGTTTGTATGGATCTTGTGCATGTTGTCATCATTGCTGTAAGTTCATATGAGCAAGGTCCCAGGAACTTTTAAGACTCTATTTCCATATGGTCATGCACCTCCTCTCCTTGTTCTTAGAATCTTTCCACCCCCTCTTCTACAACTGTCCCTGAGTCCTGGGTGGGTGACGTTTAATATAGGAGACCTGTGCAAGGAATCATACTGTGCAGACTTTTATCCTCTGTGTTTCGGCCATTTGTGGCCTTTTGTGTTCATTGTTCTCTGTTGCATGAGGGAGCTTGGTTGATGAGAGTTGAGAGATGCATTAATATTCTCTCTACTCCTTGTTCCACAATGTTCCGTGAGCCTTGGGTATGGAGGTTCCATTGTAGCTGTGTCACTTAGGGTTGAGCATTTCACAACACTTAATCTCTGTATATGACCAGTTGTGGAACCCTGTAATATTCTTCAACTGTTGCAAAAGAAGCTTCTTTGATGAGTGGTGACTGGCATCCTTGTCTGTAAATATAAGGATCTATATTTAGCATATAGTAAGAAATTACATTTGTCTAGGGATGAGACTTCCTTGGGGTTTTCTCTAAAATCTATGACCTCTCCAGCCATTGTATATTTGGCTATGTTTACAGTGCCACACACGAGTTTCCTCCAATTGCATGGGCTTTAAGTCCAATTAGGAGCTGTTGATTACCCCCAAGATAAAAGTGCCACACTGCTCCAATATAGTTTTCTGTGCTGGTCATTGCTGTGATTATATGGACTTAAATCTGGAGTTGTTGGACCATTGATTGATGTTCTTCCTTACTAGCTTGCATAGCATTCTACAAAACTAAGAACTAGCCTTCAGGGAGGTGACTTCGAGGTCAAGTCCAGCTCTGTTGCTCCAAGTTGTGTCAGAAGTATGTCCTGTCTTCAGCAATATGGTCTTATCTTCAAGTTCTTGCTTCTTAGATTTGGCTGTAATCATACATATTTAAACTGCAAGTGTTATTGAAGGCCATTCATCTCTTACCCTAACACTGTGTAATTTCATACAAATTTATACAATTTTATATGTTTAATTAAACTGAAAAAAGTTTGCTTTCAATTTTCCAACATATCATCAGTGCTACTGTGTAAAGCAAAATAGAGCAATAACTGGTAAATGATCAGCATTTAATTAATGTACACTAAATGAAGCTGTATGCTTTTCTTAGAATAATAGGTTAATGTTATGCCAATATCTAAGAAATGCTGTTTCTTCTTTTATAGTCATATACTTTATCTGAAGTTTAAATCTTTGGCATTTGTAGGTAAGCAGTGTTTCACATAATCACATTTCAATCTAGACTTCCTTGGGAACTGTGAAAGTCATTGGCGTTAATTACTAACAGCTGCAAGTACTGTAGAATAAACATGTTTAGAGTTCTTACCAATTTATATACCAGGAAATATATACTGGAAATACTGAGATATAATCTTCTATAGGCTATTAATGCTTAAATGAATACACTGATATGTAAAACTCAAGACACTATGGCAGATACATAAAATTCAGGACTTTATTTGATTTTTTTCGTGGCAGAGTTGTTGAATTCATATTGGTTTGCCCTCAGTCTCCATGGTACCTTCATGGCAAAATCATCAAAATTTTTCTCTTCTTACTACTTATAAGTATAAAATACATTGTTGCTAGCTACAGTCACCCTACTGTTCAGTACAACACCAGAACTTATTCTTCCAATCTAACTGTGACATTGTACTTAATTGAATAACCTCTCTACTTACTCTCCTAAACCTTTGCAACCACTTTATTTTCAATTTCATGAGATCGACATTTTTAGACTGTACATATGTGTCTAACCATGTGGTGTTTGTCTCCTGGTTTATTTGAACTTAGCATAATGTATTCCAGGTTCATCCATACTGTCACTTTTTATGGCTGAATAAGATTTAATTGTGTATATAGACCACTTTTCCTTATTCATCTATTGGTAAACATTTAGGTTAATTCTATATTTTAGCTGTTATGACTAGTGCTTCAAATACAACAGATACCCCTTCAATATACTAACTCCTTTTCTTTTGGATGTATACTCAGTAGTGAGATTACTATCTGGTACAGTAGTTCTAGTTCAGATTTTCTAAGGACCTTGCATCGGTTTTTCCATAAAGGCGGTACTAGTTTACATCACCATCTGGTCCCTTCCTGATTGTTTTTAGTATTGGTAATATATTTAATCAGAGTAGAAAAGAAAATCCATAAATATAAAACAGTTTTATATCCACATATAATAATTAAATCTATAACCTTGGTTACAAAGAATCTAAACCATTTTTTTCACATTTCTATTTCATGAAATGGTAGGATTCCATGAAATAATTTATAAATGACTTGAAGTAAATTTTGAATTTTTTTTTGAGCCAGGGTCTCATTATATAGCCCTAACTGGCCTGGAACTCCCCAGGCCAGGTTGACCAGAGTGGCCTTGAACTCACAGAGGTCAGCCTGTCTCTGCCTCCTGAGTACTGGGATTAAAGGTGTGCACCAACATACCTGGTTAACTTTGAATTTTTAATATGATATTTTTCATAATTTGTATGAGGCTAATCTCTTCAAATCTAATTTCTTTTTCTTCTTCAGTCTCCCACTTATAGTTTTGTTCTCATCAACTTAAATTTTACATTTTGGGTAGTAGTAATAACATTAAAAGTGAATAATGTATGTCTATCTATAGACAGAAAATTGATTATACTTTTTCATAACATATTTAGGTATAATCTAAATATAATTCATCTGAATTCCTGTAATCACTAGATTCAAACTTTCACCTATGTATTTACATATTCATTAGTAACGTTTGCCATTTCTAATGCCTGTACCTTAAATAGAGCATTTATTTAAATTATCATTCTGTAACACTACTATCAGCATTTAATATATGTTCAACCATGTTATTTTGTTAAAGTTCTTAACTTCATAAAGTTTATAGAGAGATGTTAAAACCCACTAACAATCCTTTATTACACTGTTATACTTGTAGAATGGGAAAAAATCGCCAGCTATTGTTCCCAGAAATACAGAAGCAGCCCTTCCTATAATCTGTGACACTAGTCTTTGGTTTTGTACCTTCTCTGTAATGATGTAGGTTTGTTTCTCCTTTATTCTTTGCAGAGTGCTGCAGCAGCTCCCAGTCCAGTGCTAGGAAACATTCCCCCAGGAGATGGCATGCCAGTAGGTCCTGTGCCACCAGGGTTCTTTCAGGTACTCAGAGATTTGACTAGGAATGTTAAGGCATAGGAACTCCTGCTTGGTTTTATTTAAAGATGATGAAGTAGGATGAGGCTATTTGAATTCTTCTACTTTGATTCTGAAAGTAAATATGATGTTGTACAGCCAACTCTTGATTGCTCAAATGGCTATCTGTTACTATGCTTCATTATTTGTTCTAATTAGTATTAATTAAGCCATTTCATTGATAAAATGGGAAAGAAACTGAATGCAAATTAGTCCGATAAGTTTACTGTGGTTAATACTTTATGGGAAAAGATACTAAAGCAGCATTCTGTGAAGAGGTGCATTTTTAATGTCCAAGCTGTCCATATTTCTGTAGACTAAAGATAACTGAGATTTGACTGTACTTTCAGAATGTAGCCAAGTCAGTCTATTCACAATAAAAATTATAGGCTACACCAAAATATTTTTGCAAATCATCTTTGTGGCTTTTCAGCTGGAATTTTTACTAATTATAAAACATTTGTAGATCAGATTTTCATTTATATAGTTAGTATTTTAAATTTTCAGTGACTATTTTAGCAATGACAATAATGATTTTAGAATTATAATACATCACTTTTTAAATTTATTTATCTACATCTTAAATCTGGTAAACTTCTAAACCAAACCAATACAGATTCTGAAGGTTTCCTAAACATAATTTTATAGCACTATTTGAGAAAGGTAAGAATTTAGGAGTTAAGACTTAGAGCTGGAAGACATTTAGGAATCAATATATACTATACTATATTGTTAACACATTACAGTAGGTACCTATTAACTAAATTGTTACTTTAGCTTTTGTATTTCAAAGCCCTTGTAATCATTTATTAGTAATTCATATCCTCATTGGGGTACTTAAAATGTGAAAACAGAGAAATAAAATTATAAGCAATTTTACAAATAGATCCATTGAATTAAAAGGTCTTAATTAGAACCCAGAACAAATTCTAAACTTCAAGGACATGCTTGTTTGCTGTTCTTTATTATTACTATAGTAGTACTAAATATTTAACAGTCATTATTAGAGCTCACATTCTTTTCGGGGGTGCTTTTTAATACTCTAGGTAGAGAGGAGAAGTCTTAATTATTAATTAAACAATCACCGCTTAAGATAATGATAACAATAGTGAACACAATAATTGTTTTCTATATGCTGTGCTGTATTTTAATATGAATTGGTTACATAAACTCCTAATTCCTACAGCAACTCAGTATGTGAGATATGGATTACTGTGATTCTCACTGTGCAGATGGAAAAACCAACATTGATAGATAACTGATTTGTACAAAACCAGAAACTGACAGGGCCAGGATTTAAATCAAGACAGTCGGGACTTATGCCATTGAAATTACCTTTCAAAGTTGATTGTTATTCATGAAATATTTCCAGCTCATTTCATTTTTGCTTTACACTCTTAGTTCTCCTGCCAAAGATGGGTTTGGGGTTAGGAAGTAAATCAGAAGAGTTTTATCTATTTGAGGGTTAGAAGCACTCTAAGTGACACTGTTAAAAGAGAAGGTTGGTTGGGGAGGAAGCCAAATTCTTTTACTCCAGCATTAGGCCATCCATGATGGAGAAATCCATATTTTTTTCACATTTGGCCCTTCCTAGTTAAAATGGTTTAACTTCTTTTTAATTATTAAAATATGATTCATATTGAGTATCATTGGATGCCAGACACTGCAGTAGGTACCTGAAAATTAGCATATGTAGCGTATGCCTTCTTGGAGCTAGCCCATTGTTTTAACTAAAGAAACATTAAAAATAACAGACTAGGGTCTGGAGAGATGGCCCGGTGGTTAAGAGCACTGGCTGTTCCTGCAAAACACCTGGGTTCAAATTCCAGTACCCACATGGTGACTAACAACCATCTGTAACTCTAGTTCCAGGGAATCTGACACTCTCTTCTGTCCACTGTGGGCATTGCACAACACAGGCACACCTACATACATGCAAGCATAACACTCATACACGTAAAATAAAAATAAATAAATTTTTTTAAAGTTAAAAAAAAATAGCAGAGTAATGTGGAAAGTCCTAGAACAGCTGAGACAGCTATTAAGCCTACCTGATTTGAGGTAAGAGTGGTTTAGAAAAAATTGCTCAGCAAAACAAGCAGAGGAATGACATTCCAGAAAGTGGGATCATAAGCCAACATATCACAACAACAAAATAAGCTGTACTGAAGTGTTCAGGGTCCACACAGAGGGTTGGGGGGCCAGAGGCAGGAGTTTCTGCACACAGAATTGGAGCGGTACTCAAGTCTGTTGAAAAGAGCCTGAATGCTGCATTAAAGCTGAGTCTTTATTTAGCATGCAATTGATCTGGATTTGTTAGACATCTCTGGTACAAGTGTTTATAAAATTCCTGACATCAAAAAGCCCAGAGTGTGGAGAATGAGAAAAGAGGTGATTCAAGTATGGAAATTTGCAAAATGGGCATGTTGAATGGCCAGAAGGTGCTCGTGTAGTAAGTCAGAGCACCAGACTCAGTCTTGGGAAAGATGTATTCAGAACAGTATTGTCAAAATAGCAAATGAAATCCAAACTGGTATCTTAATATTAAATAGGAGTTAGGCAAAGGAAGCAGGCAGAAAGAGGAAGAACAGTTAGGAAAGGGGAAATAAGTGACAGAAACCTAGAGAGAAAGGAAGAGAAACTAAGTGTTTCAGGAAAGCAAGAATTTAACTAGTTAAAAAGAGCACAGTTGCTGAAGCTTGAGATGGACCTCAAAGGTTAGTAAAGAATTTTGAACTTGATCTTAAAGACACTCATAACTATTGAAGAACTTTAAGTTGGAAAGAGTGGTGTTCATATTTGCATCTTTATTGGGAAAAAAAAAAACACTTTTACTAGCATTTGCCAGAACTGAATTTGAGAAGAATAAGTCTGGAAGTAAGAGATTGTTTAGAATAGAGAGGCTATCTATAAGACTGGTACAGCAATCCAGACAAAGCTTAATGATGGCCTAATTTGGATAGTGGCAGTAGATCTAGAGACAGTAGCAGATTTGAGATGGGGGTGGGGGAATCAGAAAAGTCAAGGATCACATAATGGTTTCTGTTTTCAATCTAAGCAGATAAGGATGTTTTCTGAGTAGAGACTAGTATGGGAAATAGTCTTGAAAATGGGATAATTGAAATTCTGATGGCCCTTCCCATTAGACCTATGGGTTAATCTGATTGGACCTACAGGTTGAAACCTAGAGTGGAAGTCTAGACAGGTATAGATATCAGAGTCATCCTCATATTTAAGGGTACTTGAATCCACAGGGGCAGATTAATTATTCAGGAAGAAAGGACAGAATGATAAGGTAAGAGGATGTACCACCAACCTGCCAAAAACACACTAACATTTAAAAGATAAACAAATGAGACTCATTACAGAGACTACATGCAGGGGTATAAATAAGTTAGGACAGTAGTTCAAGAAGAGTCTGACAAGATTAGAAGCATTGGAATTAGAGGTGAGGAAACAGCTCCTAATCATCTTTGCTAAGCCTTAGTTGATTGCCCAAATTAAGTGTTGAAGAGAAAATGTTGCAAGATTCAAGGATGATACTGTAGCTCCTAATTTGGATCTCTCGATAATGCTAACGTCTTTATCAATGCAAAGAAAACTAGGAGATGGAAAAGCTTTAGATAATTTGAGTTTGATGGATGAGTCATTTCCATTTATCCAAGGAGACCATTTCAACTTACCTCCAGGACTTTTCCCCCTTTGTCAACATTTAAATGTCCAATAACTAGAAATGTCTCTCTAAAATATTGAAAAACTCATTCAAACTTTTAAAACCATCTTAACTAGCCAGGTGTGGTGGCACACACTTTTAATCTTAACATAGGGGAAGCAGAGGCAGACAGATCTGTGTAAGGTGGATGTCAGCCTGGTCTACATAGCAAGTTTCAGGCAAGCTGGGGCCACAGGGAGGCTCTGTCTCAAAAAATATGTTAACTTTTAGTAATATAGTGGTGTGGTCAGACAGCTCAAGTATTTCCTAAATATCAGTATTTGTTTTCTGCAATGTTTGAACTATACTTCAGCATAATCCTAGCCATAATGCATGTTGTTAATGAATTCTAATTACCTTTCTTGAGTAGATGTCACAGAATAAAATTATAATTTAGAATAAAACAGAAGTCTCTAATCCAGCTCCACAGAGATACTGTCCTGTGAGAATGAGCCTGTGTAGAGAACTTATGAAAGGGAATCATTTCGGTGTTTATAGATTATAGTGCCCAAGATCAAGCACAACCAATGCACAAGGTTAGTACAAGGCGAAGGAGACTGAAAGTGACTAGAGATGAGCAGGCTATAGCTCCTTGAGTGACTGAGTCCAAGGGAGAGACTATCACTCTCTAAAGAGCCAGAGACTCAGCTATCAGAGAATCCCTAGTACTAAGGAGCATTAAACAGTTCCAATCTCTCAGGCAGCTTGCTTATAGCTAGTAAATTCTGACAGGTAGTTCCTCCTCTTGCCTTTTACCTTTAGGTAGAATATGAGAATACTTTATATTCCCAGTGAGGAAATGCAACCATAAAGATATTAAAGTATTAGAATTAAATGAATAAAAAATAATAAATAATGCACCAGGCCCAACTATGTGTAGCTCTAAGTTGTACTCACTTTGTGATCATACTGTAAAAAAAAAAAAAGCATATTGAAAATAGTTCTCTTAAGCAGACAAATGTACTTCTTTTTTTCCCATTTACACTGAAGAACAAACCTCCTTCTTTCCATTATAGAGACAAGTTCATTACCAAGTGGCATCATCACAAATTCTAAACTTGTGACTTGATAACTAACTTTAACCCTAAAATTAGTAACTATGATTAATACTCCAGTCATTTAATATGTCCATCCTGGAAAACAAACTTTAGGTTGGTATCTTACTTACTGTGACCTTGTTCCCACTTTCTTAGCTGTTTTTCTTGTCATTTTGACAAAGTACGTGGCAGAAGCAGGTTAAGGAAGGAGAGGTTTA